CTCACAAAGACTCCTTCAACAACATCTTCAAAATCTCTGGCCTCCACCACCTAGACAAACTCTTCAGTCAACAAGTTTCCCTTCAAGTCACACACCATACTAACTTGGAACTACAGTGCAATTCATTTGCTGTTGCTGTGTCAAAATTATGGAACTGTCTTCCTTCTTTCCTTCCTGAGAGTACTGTGGGTGTCCCTATATTCCAAAGACTGTAATCGTTCCAAGAGAGCAGCTCACCAGCAACTTCTCCATAGCAATTTGGGATGGACAAATACTAGAACCCATTACTTAAGCGGTTGTAGCAGGATACTTAGAATATCTTGATGGAATCGGGCAAGTCAACGAGGTTCTTTGAAAAGGAATTGTGTTTCTAACTTATTCTATCATTTTTAAGGAAGTAACCAGCATGGTGGATAAAGGGGGAATTAGTTGATTATAGTATACTTGGAATTGTGAAAGTACACTAATTCTGATTTGATAAGGTGCCCCATCAAAAATTGTGACACAAGAATAAAACACATGGTGTGGGAGTTAATGCATCAGCATAATAAAAGATTTGTTGACTAACAGGAAGCACATAATAGGTCTATTTTAGATAAGTTGCACCTAGTGGAATGCCACAGATGTTAGTGCTGAACCCTCAACTATTCACAACTTATACCAATGACTCTGCTGAAGGTATCAAAAATAGAATGGCTAATTTTCCAGTGCGAGCAAAATAGGCAGCAAAGTAACTTGAGGTATAGAGTCTGCAAAAGAATATAAACAGCTGAAATGAGTAATCAAAAAGTTTGGTAGCTGGAGCATAATGTGAGAAAATGTGAACTTGTCCACATTTGGCACAAGCGCATAAAAGTAGCATACTGTATTTAACGGAATTAGAGTGATAGACCCTGAAAGTGGACCCTTCAGCCCAACTCATCCTTACTGATCCAGATTCCTAAAATAAACCAGCCCCATTTGCCTGCATTTGGACCATATCCCTCTAAGCCTTTCCTTTCCATGTACCTGTCCGAATGTCTTTTAAATGTTGTAATTGTACTCACCCTTACCTTTTCTTCTGGCAGTTCGTTCCATAAACACACCACCCTCTGTGTAAAAAGTTGCCCCTCGGGTGCCTTTTAAATATTTCCCCTCTCACCTTTAATTTTGTGTCCTCTAGTTTTGGACTCATCTACCCTAGAGAAAAGACCTTGGCTATTCGCCTTATTTATGCCCCTTATTTATGATTTTATGAACCTCTATAAGGTCACCCCTCCAACCTCCTGTGTTCCAGGGGGAAAAGCCCAAGCCTCCAGCCTCATCTTATAACTCGAGTCCTCCAGTCGCAGTAACGTTCTTGTAAATCTTTCTAGTTTAATAATATCCGTCCTATAGCAGGGCGACCAGAATTGTACAGTGTGGCCTTACCAATGTTTTTGTACAGCCTTAACATGACTTCCCAACTCCTACACATAATGCACTGACCAATGAAGGTAAGTGTGCTAAACATTGCCTCCATCACCTTGTGTACCTGCGAAGTTACTTTCAAGGAACTATGTACTTGCATCCTGAGGTCTCTTTGTTCAACACTCCCTAGAGCCTTATATTAACTGTGTAAGTTGTGGCCTGGTTTGTCTTATCAAAATGCAAGACCTCTCATTTATCTGAATTAAATTCCATTTGCCATTCCTCAGCCCACTGGACCAGTTGATCGAGATCCCGATGTACTCTTAGATAATCTTCATTGTCCACTATACCACCAATTTTGGTGTCACATTGCAGTATTCACTGGTATGAGGGAATCTGGATATCATGGTATGAGTGACAAAGTTGGTAAGTAGGAATAGCAAGCTATTAGGAAAGTACATGAAATGTTAGGGTACATTGCAATGGGAACAGAATATAAAAATTAGTAGGACCACGTGGGGACTACTGTCAACTTATTTGAAAAACAAATGCAAATGCTTTTCTCAAGAAGAATCGTTGAACAGGTTGAGCATCTAAACTTTGAAGTTTAGAAGAATGATATTTAATCTTGGGGAAAGATAAGATCCTGAGTAGAATTGATCAGGTGTTTGCCTGGAGGATGTTCCCTCCTATGGGGTCCACAAATATGTGAATTATGAGGAGTAGGCTATTTGAACCCTCAATTCTGCACTGTCATTCGATGAGATCGTGGTAGATGAGACTGTGATCAAAATTCCATATTCCTGCCTATGCATGATACCCTTTTTGACACTCTTGTTGGTCAAGAATTAATCTACCTTTTGCTTTTGTCTTCAATTACTCCACCAGTACCTGGAGAAAACAGTTTGAAAAACTTTTGAACCTCGGAAGAAAATGTTCTTTATCTTAGTCTTATGGGAGGCTGCTGTTTTTAAACTCTGTCTCCTAGTTTATTAATAAGGTCTGCCTTTTAAGATGGAAGATCTAAAAAACTGAAATAAATGCAGATGCAAGAAATCTGAAACCAAAATAAAAATTACTGGAAAATCTCAGCAGGTCTGGCAATATAAGTGAAGAGCAATCAGAGATAACGTTTTGGGTCCAGTGACCCTTCCTCCTTCAGAACCTTTTAAGATGGAAGGTTTGCCTTTTCAACATGGATTATGGAAGAAAAATGTCTTCATTTAGAAATTTTAGTAAGTAAGAGGAAGGCATTTAATAAGATTTACTTGTGGATTTTTTTTTTATCTTGGAAGATCTATGTCTTAAGCACAGTTATCCAATTGGTGCCAGATTTTTAACAATTCATTCATTCCACTTTTATTTAAAATTGTTGGTTACTACAGGTTATATGATCTATTCAGTTAAATGTATAAATTGTGTCACATTTACTTAAATGTAAGGAGGATGCATGACTGTTCATTCTGAATTTAATTGAAATGCATTGTGTTTGGTGTTAGGACTCTGATGCAGGGAGCTCCCCTTCCCTTCCAATTTTGTTTCAGTAAATCTCTCTGTACCAAAGGATGGGGAATAGAATAGGTTACGTAGCTTGTAGTATTTCTCTCAGCCTTTGATGTGTATACTGCACACATTTTGGTTCTGCCTTTACAGGGTAGTGTTGTTTTAAGACTGGCTAATTCCTATCGAGTGATTAATGATTTATAGATTTAACTCAAAACAAACTGTTGCAGTTACCAGAGACTTTGTACAGCACTGGAATAAGAAATGATGTGCAATTTCTAATTGCAAAATCACAACAATATTATGATTATTTTCACACTGAAGCAATCTTTGCCCAAATGCAGCAAGAGCTGGACAATATTCAGGCTTGGGATGACAAATGCCAGGTCATGTTCACTCCATTCAAATGCCAGGTAATGACCATTTCCAATAAAAACAAATCTAATCATTGCTCCTTGATATTCAATGATGTCACCATCGTTGAAGCTCCCACTATTAACATTTTAGGGATTACTGTTGGCCAAAAACTGAACTGGACTAATTTCATAAATACTGTGACTACAAAAGCAGGTCAGAGGCTAGGAATCTTAGAGTGAGTAACTTGACGCCTCAATCCCAAAGGCTTTTCCACAACCTGGAAGACGCAAGCTAGGTGTGTGATGGAATACTTTCCATTTGTACTAGCCCCAGTAACATAAAACTTGACACCATTCAGGACAAAGCAACCTGCTTGATTTGCACCATATCCACCATAAAAATAATTCAGTCCCACCAACAAAGATGCTGTGTAGCAGCAGTGTTACTATCAACAAAATGTACTGTAGAAATTCACCACCTTCCAATCCCACAACGACTACCATCTAGAAGGACAAGGGCAGCAGATACATGAGAGCATTACCATTTCCAAGCCACTTGCTATCCTAACTTGGAAATGTATCTCCTTTTCCTCTGTCTCGGAGTCAAAATCCTGGAACTCCCTCTCTTCGTAACCATATTGTGGGAGTACCTATACCAGATTGATTACAGCATTTCAATAAGGCGGATCACGATCACCTTTTTCAAGCACAACTAGAAGTGAGCAATAAATACTGGCTGAGCTAGTAACACTTGCATCCAATGAGCAAAGGTATGAATAGACAGTAAGTATCCTTAGAAGCTACAAAGTAAAGCTGTACTCCTACTGTGTTTGGCTAGTTTAGATTAGTTTAATCTACCATTATAATTATAATTATTACTTATTTCTTATGGACAAGATCAAACCCCCTCCAAATATGTTAAGATATCTAGACCCTAACGTTTTCTTATTTTAAAGATAAGTATAAAGCGTTGTGTTCCGGATGCGAATTGATTGGTCAAACTACCAGGCTTGAAACGAAACATACTTCATTCATACATTAAAATACAGATAAAATTAAAAATAAGAGAATTTGCTTAACTGTAACTGTATTGAAATGCTTAACAAAATAAGATGTATATTAACTAATATTAATTAACTGTTCCAATGTAGTGACATCCCATAAACACACCTTTGGCAAAGGTAAGTCATAAAATAGATTGTCTCACATGCATTTCTAGCAGCAGGAAGAGAACCCCAGCTTTTAGCTGTAACAGAGAGAGGAATAAGAGCTTCCACATCCAGGTCCAGGACCTCCGCAACTGCAGAATGCCAAAACTCAAAATCCTGGCTGTGTGGGAGCTTGATCCTACCCATTCAGGCTGCTTCTATTCCAGCTTTTTCTTTTTTGAGCAGACTGCTCGGCGCCTCTGTCTCAACCTTTCTTCATTTTTTAAAAAAAAAACAAGACAAAATACACCTCTTCAAGCCATAATATTGTCACATTGTTGAAGCATTAATGGTATAATGAAGTTCCTAAATACTGTACCTGCAAGTTGGGTATAATCCCTTCGAAAGCTGGTTGACCAGTTGTGTATTTCCAACATGTTCTGTTTTTATTTGTATAATATTGTCTTATTGTGCAATGGAAATTGAAATACCTTTGCATCACAATTTATAAATCTTTAAGGCATAGTCTTATGGTTGTACTATGGAGCAGTTTAACTCAATGAAAGTCCAGGGTGTCAAATTTATTAATGGTTTTCCACCACAGGCTTTCTGTGAAACATTAGAAGAAACTAATTACAGACTACAAAAGGAACTTGCTGAAAAACAAAAGGAAGTTGAGGCTTTGAAGAAATTACTGGAAGAAAAATGTCTTCATATAGAAGTTTTAGAAAGTAGAATAAGGTATTTAATGAAATCTACTTGTGAAAATGATTTTGACATGTAAGATCAATACCCTAAATACTTTTATCTACTTGGCGACTGATTTAACAATTCAGTTATTTTTACCTAAAATTCATGGTTACTATTACCTATTCAGTTAAATATGCAAATTTTGTCCTTTACTTAGATGTCTGTGCAGTTTCAGAATTGCAGTAGGGACATGATATTTAATGCATGATCGAGTTAGTCAATGGTCAGAAGTCTGCCCAGCAAGATTGGAAGGAAACTTAATGGAAAGTAGCGTTATGGTTCCTGATATTTTTCATCAAATGACTGTGAAGAGGCTTGGATGGTCATTTTGGAACATTATTCACTTGGCCTGTTGGCAGAAAAAAATTAAACAAAAAAGACTTGCCCAAAATACTTAAAATTAAAAAAAAACACTTTTAACAATGGAACCTGGAATACTTTTAAATGCTGCAATACAGACACTAACAAAGCCAACGATAAGTGATGTATGGACATAGTTTTCCAATATCCCAGAGTTCCTTCATGAGCATTGCGTTCGACATCACAGTATAGATTTGTGTGCTGAAGTATCAGATTGTTCATTTTGTGAAATATAAGTTACACTGGCCTGTTAGGACTTGTAGAATTTTATACTCCAGTTGACCAGCAAATGTTTTTGTGGCATTGCATATTGGGAGCTTTATTTCAAACTCAAATGTGTGTGATGTTTAAGACTTATCGATGCCCTATCCTGCCTCACTGCAGCTTTTCTGATTTAGTTATTGAATGTTAGGTAGGTTGTTCAACTATAAATCTCACCTGCCCTTGTCAGCCTTGTCACATCGGAGAAAACTGCTATGGTAGCATTTTAAAGACCATTATGTCAGCTTTTATTATGAGTTTGAAGATTGCAATTAGTAATGGCAGAACATTTCAAACCTGGTTATATATTCTTGTTTTTCTCCTCTTTCTTGATTATTAAAATATTGCTTTGTATTCTTGACTATCTTGTAGAGAAATGTCCTTGGAACAGGAGAAAACACGCAGACCCTCTGGGCAGGAGAGTGAATCTAGTAGTGAAGTTGAGTCCTCTGCAGTAGAAGCTGACCAAGCAGTAATACAGGACAACAGGTAGTTTTGAAGCCATATAGACCAAGCCATGGAAAAGAGTGCTCAATTTTTTAAAGATTATAATAAGTGCATCTCCAGTTTCTTCATTTTTTTTATATTGTAGAAACTGGAGATTTGTCCAGCATCAGTTACTTTATATGTTTTGTTTTTTGTTTTGTACATGTATCTGAATAGCAGAAAGGCTTGAGATGCTAAATGGTTTACTGTTGATCAAATACTTGTAAGATTTTTTTCTTTGTTCTTTCAGTAATTTTTAATTTTTTGCATGTGACAATGCACATTTCTCACTTAATTTTTGACTTAATTTTTCATACGTTATCGTCTGTTTATCTGTTTTTAAAGCACTTCACTTCCTTTGCCCGTCCCTCTCTTTTACTTTTTTCAATTTTTAATAATGATCCATATTTGTGATTTGTCTTTTTCTTGGTGCCTTTTGTACCCTTTCCTAATCTAGCCAGTCCTTATTCATGCCTGCTTTCTTCACTCCTCCCTTTATTTATATTCCTCCTATGTTTATCATATATACTTGGGTAAAAGTCAAATTTTTTAAGACTGTTTTTAAAGTTAAATTTATGGTGTCAACTATTACATGGATACTATTTCTGAGGGGCTGAAATTCATGTTACAGTCCAAAATACCATATCATTAGCAGAAGCCCAATTGATCTGCCTTCTTGAACTTCTGTGTTGCACTTGGTCTAGATATACTCGTAAAACTGTTAGAGAAGGAGCTGAAGCATTTTCATCCATCAGCATTAAAAGAACAACAATATATTTCCAAATCAGGACAGTGAGTGGCTTGGAGAGGAGCTAGCAGATGGTGATGTTCCCCTGTATCTGCTGCCCTGTCCTTCTAGATGGCAGTGGTCATAGGTTTGGAAAGTGCTAAGGACAATATTTCTTGCGCACAGTACCCACTGCTACTACAGTTAATTGGTGGCAGAGGGAATGAATGTTTGTGGATATGATATTAATCAAGTGGGCTTCTTTGATGTGATCGTGTCAATTTTCTAATCTTGGAGCTGCATTCATCCAGGCAACAGACTCGGGAGTTGAAAAGTCAATTACTCACTCCAATTCCTAGCCTTTGACCTGCTCTCGTAGCCACAATTTATGTGGGTCTAGTCCAATACAGCTTCTAGTAACACCCAAGATGTTAGGGGGTTTTAGCAGTTGTAATGTCTTTGAGTGTTAAGTGATCATAATTAGATTCCGTCCTGGAGATAGCTCTTGTGTGGCATTGTGTAGCGCAAATGGTACTTGCTACCTTTCAACCCAAGCTTGAACACTGTCCTGGTCTTACTGCATTTGCACATTGATTGCTGCAGTATCTGAGGTTTGAATATTGTGTGATCATTGGCAAACATCTCCATTTCTGACCTTATAATGGAGAGAAGGTCTTTGATAGTTTATACAGATTTCAGCAAAGCCTTTGACATGGTCCCACATGGGAAATTGATAAATAAGGTAAAAGCACTTGGGATCCAGGGGAAACTGGCAAGTTTGTTCCAAAATGCAGTCGGAGACGAGAGCATGATGGTGGTAGAATGCTGTTTGTGTGGCTGGAGACCGGTCTCCGGTGGCATACCACAAGGATCATTGCTGGGTACCTTTATTGTTTGTGATATATATGCTGAAGAAAATGTGGGAGCTTGATAAGTTTGCAAATGACACACAGATTGGATGGGTTGTTGACAATGAGGAAGTCTATGGCCCAAGTGCTAGAAAGTAGAACTAGTTTTTTTTTTTAATTCACTTGTAGGATGTGGATGTTGCCAACATTTATTGCTTATCCCTTGTTGGTCTTGGGAAGGTGGTGACGAGCTGCCAACTTTTCCTGCTGCAGTCCATGTGCTTTACAGTTAGAGTACTTTTGGTTAATGCAGATTCACTGGGCTAAAGGGCCTCTTCTGTACTGTATGGTTCTATGATTTTAACCTTCCTCACCACAATTAAACTGACTAGTCTCTAAGTGTCATTAGAACTCTCCAGTCCCCTGCCACATCTCAAGTCTGGGGAAGATTGGATGATTACAGCCAGTACCCCTGCAATTTCCACTAACTCTTCAATGTGCTCAGATGCGTCTCTTCCAGTCCCAGTGCCTTGTCAACATCCAGCATCAACAGTTTATCCTACATGTCTTTCTTCCTTATCAATTTTGACCCCTTTCAGTGACAGAGTTTCCTTGCCTATCACCACTACCTGCATTGCATCCATCTCCTTGGTAAAGATAAATGCAAAGTATTCATTTAATACCTCAGCCACACCCTTTACCTCCACATGTAATTTCCTCTTTATTAGTACCCCTAGTCCTTTTTGTGCCTGTAGAAGACTTTGGGATTCCCCTTCATGCAGGTGCCAGTCTTTTCTCATAATCCTCTTTATTCCTTTAATATGCTTCTCCCCTCTGATACTTCTGTGTTCTTCTTAGTTCTGAGTTGTCTTACGATCTGTCATAAGCACAGTTCTTCTTTTTTAATGCTAGAAAGTAAGACTAGGACTAATTTTATGTTTTTGACATGTAGCCTGAAGCAGATCAATGAAAAGATAGAGCCAGAGATGTAAGAGCAGTATACATGAGAAACAGCAGTATTGAATTTAAGTGCCCTAACTCTCATTACCTACACAATTTCAATTCACTGTGTTTCCCCCGATTTTGAAAGAATTCTCTTGCTCAGTTGTGTTGACTTTGATTTCAATTTTAATTTAATAAAAGCAAAATATAAATGCAAGCCTTTCAATTTTATTTAATTTTAATATTTTTAAGCTCTCGAATGATGTCTGATAAAGAACAATCTGGAGCCTCTTGGAATAGCCCTGTAAATGAAACGTCTTCACCAGTAGAAGAAGCAGAAGCTGCGGAAGAAGACTGATAGAACACTTATATTAGCATTAACAAATGCTAATACTATAATTCTTGATAATATATCGCAACAATAGCTGTAGCTGGAATACAGCTCAAAGCTATGAATCAATATGGTTTCTAAAATTTGTATGTGACATAGCCAAGGAAATTGCCCTTTCTATGAATAAATATTTCAATATATTTTTGCTTGATGCAATAAATTAGATTTTATTAGTACATCAGCTTTACTAGGCTCTGAATTTTGCAAGTTTGAGTGCTTAAGTATAGGTCAAAAAATTACAGATAAATTAGGCTATTAATTCTTTGGAGCCATTTAATTTTACAAGCTGCTTTCAATTTCTATCTAGAAATGTATACAGGAATAGTTTAGCTAAAATGTATTGCAGCTAAATTTAAACATGATATAGCCATTTCATTAATCAAACTGCAGCTACTTACCTAGCAACATGAAAGCCAATTTCTTTCCTGGAGCTAACTGAACTATTTAAATGTTACTTTGGAGAAACTCAGTGGTTTGAATGGGCATCAGTGCACCTCCAGGTTAATGTGATTTGAGCTTTGTTTAAGCTGCATAAATTGCTTTATCTGTGCACAAATGCAGCTGTTGATCTCATTTGGTTTTGTTCCCTAAATTTGTCTGTTAAACAGATTTTTTTTTTAGATCAAAAGCAAAATAAACCTGTTATTTTTTCAGTTTTACAAACTAGCCAAAGTCACGATCTCAATGGTTTTGTTTTAGCTGTTCTACAGTGATTTACAATTTAATTACCAAATTGTGACTAGAAGGAACACACTTCACTTAGCCATGGTGCAAACTGTGTATTTAAGTTTTGTCAAGTTTCATTGGCGAAAGATGTTTTAGCTTGAATTGCTTTTTATTGTTACAATCAAATTAACTAGTTTTGCTTCATTTAGTGTTGGTTTCTCAAACTTGCATGCCTTGATTGCTTCAAGTGCCTTGTTTTTCTGGATTTATAAGATATGCAATGATTTTTAATTCACCTATTTGTTACGAGCATCTGTGATAAATGAGAGCCATAAAGTTTGGCTGATTTTTTTTTGAGAACTTGTACTGGAACTGCCCAATTTCCTATTAGGAATATTTTAATTTATGCTAGTAATTTACATTGTGTTCTCTAGACCCTAAAGATGAACTTTAACGGATTGAATGCTGTAATCTTCCACTGGAAGTCTTGCATTATATGTTTTGTCAGGTCTGGGTATACATTCTTCTGTGTGATGTGCCAAGTTTCTGGAGATTTTATGCATGATATAAAATACAGCTCATTACCATTAGGTAACCATCACACTAAGAACATTTGCATAAAAACAAATAGAACATTCTGAAATGGGAAAAACTTGAATTGGTTTTAATTTGCAAGGGTGCATTGGTAGCTTTTTTTTAATAAAGTTTTTTTTAAAATGTTTTTTTCCATTTTGTCAATCAGTACACTGAACATTTTGAAATCCTTTATTTTAATGCACCTTAGTATGTGATTGATTAGTCTAACATGCATTTTCTTTTTGAAGTGAATATTCAAGTGACAGGGCTCCAAGCAGTTGCCTTTATAGATTAAGTAATAATCTGAATACACTCTTCTGCTATCATCAATTGTGCTTGTAACTCGGCTATAAATATTTAAACTAGGCTGCACAGAAATTTGAAGCGTCTTTCACATAAATCCCAAATGTAGAGCTGCAAACTACTGATCAAAATGTGGTCTGCAAAGCTGAGGTTAACTGAAGACTTTAAGACTTTACCTTGTCAAACTTGAAAGGAGCCCAATCTCTAACATGTGAAGGGAAAGCCTGGCCTTCAATCAAAATTTTCCTGTGCATAGTTAAATCTTTGCTCATTGAGTCTTCTGTCAATGAAAATTGTTACTTCTAATTTGTTTCATCTTAACACCATTTTTTTTTTTTTTTTTTTTTTTACACACTTGTATTGAATCCCCTTTTAATCGCTCTAAAGAGAAAGGCCCTGCCTTTCCAATTAATCTCTAAATTGAAGTTCCTCTTCCCTGGGGCCATTGCATATATTTTCAGCACTTTTTCCAATGTTGTCACAATTTTCTCAAAGTCTGGTGCCTAGAATTGGATACAGTACTCCTGTTGATACCAAAACCGTAGAATATAAAGGTTCACAATAACCTTACTTATGTAGGCTATGGGTCTTCCTAAAATCTGGTATTGCATGCACCTTATTAACCACTTTGAAGGATTTGTGCACCTACATCTCTCTTTAAAAGTGGATACTTTAGTTTATATTGTTTGTCATTCTTCTACATTCTGTACAGATTTTGAATTTACAAACTAAATTCAATGTGTCATATCACCCCTTTCTACCAGCCTCAAGTTCTGGTTCATATGCAATATTCTGAAAGTTGCATTATTCAGAATTAAATTATTATCCATGTCTGGGTGTTTAATAGGGCAACAAAAGCTGTGCTCAGTGCAACTTTTTAAAACAAAAAATCATTCACCACAGTTGTTTTTGCTGATGTTTAGCAATTTACCGCAAGTGTAATTTGGAGGATTTTTTATTGTACTTTTTAATTGCACCCAGTTACTTGACAAAGTAACTAATGGGGTCAATTCTTTTCTAAAACATGAAACATTGTATTGATCAGCATACTTTTTATTATGTGTCCTGTTGCATTTAGTAACCGTGCACATGAGGCAAATCGTTGAGAATATTCTCAAAAAAATTATACAGCTCATTTTCAGGAATCATTAAACGTTTTGTTGTACATTTGCTGTTTGTAACCAAGTTCAAAACTCTCATTCTAGAAAAGCAAACAGATTAAAAAGAGAAATGGCAAACCACCATAAAGTCCTGATTAAGAACCGTCTAGTCCATGCTACTACAACCAATGCTTTTGAGCCTGTAAATAAACTCAATAGTTGTAAAGACAAGTAACTTGTTTTTGTAACCTACAGTTATAATTCCAAGAATTCATTTATGATTTAAGTATGCTGAACTATACAAATTAGAAACAAGTTAAAACCTACCATTAATAGTAACTAATTTAAAATCCCACTTTTTCTATCCCATGTGTGGTGATTGTTCAATTCACTTAACAGACATGAGGTTTCTGGTTCTTTAATGGTGAGGTGGTAAATTGAACTGGCTTAATCACTCCTTTATAGTGAAATATTTTTAAGTTGCCAGTGGAAAGCAGTCATGGCAATTTGCTCTAACAACTTAACAGCATACTTCCCATGCAGATCTCCAATTTAGAGGCAGACGAGGAAGTCTGTAAATGACAACATTTCTGCTGAAAATATCCAAGTGGCACTACAGCAAGCCAGAATCCTCCTCCAGAGTACCAGCCTCTGCCCTGCATTTGAAGTTGTGTTGATGCAGTAGGTGGAGATGTGATAATGGTTGGCTATTTCTTGAGAATGGTGTTTACACACACAAGAATGGAAATGCAAGTGACTGCCAACTGTTGTAATTCCTACCAGCTAACTTCATTATATTGGAAGGGGTAAATAAATCTAACATGGCCAGGTTCAGTGAATAACCACACTGAACCATATAACTAAACAGCTGACAAACACAGGAATTATTTGGTGGTAGGATAAAGTAGCAAGATCAGTATAACAACCAGGTGGCACAACCTGATTATCTTTTGGATCTAATGATTAGAGTAGGGCAGTACTTGGAATGATCAGGAATGAAGCAGCCATTTCTATAGCTTAATATTCTGAGGTCCAACCAGTCAGAAAATTTTTGAAACATGGAAAGAATAAAAGAGCAAGGGCATTTATTCATACCCATTGACAACCTGGAGTTTTCCCTCTTGTATTGTGTGATTGCATGCATTCGCAGTTACAACTTTGGGCTTCTCATAGCATTAATTAAGGAAATGAACAGTAATTGTGAGCAGATTTACTGTCTCTACCTAATGTACAATGAACAACTTTTGCATGACGGATGAATAAAATAACTAATGTACAAACAGTCATTTGCAAAACAAAATTTTAGTATTTCTGAACAAAGATGTGTTTTATTTCAAAGTTTTCCATTTTGTACTTATTAGGAAAATTCAAAAAATACCAAGGTTACAGGAAAATAATGCTCAGGAGAGGAGCATACTGGTTGGTGGATTGGCAGTTAACTGTCAGTCATTATTACAGGTGCATTCTCCATGTCATCATTCACCCACTAACCATAGAATCTTTTCATGTGTGGAATATTTCTTCATATCCTGATTTTTCAAAACTTCAATCAAACTCTGTCAGCAATCTCCAAACTATCTTCGAAACCAAAATTCCTCATCTCTGGAACTATTCTTTTGCCTTTATTTTATGCCTCCCTCCCAACACCAAAAGCTGCAAATCTCAGAATGCCGTGCAACTC